GCGCAGTAGCTCTTCTGAACCTGCATTCCAGGTCACAGAACAATCAGGCACAGGTTTTCTGGTGCTAATGTTCTCCTCCCGTCCCTTCTTCTGAAAAGCCACTGAATAATTGAGTCTCAGTACCTTTCAGTCACACTAAAGATATATCCAAATGAAGGGGTTTGTAGTTGACAAACATCTTCCATATCACAGTAAGTAAACTTAATGTTCACCAAATTATACCTTGGACTCACAAACTCCAGACTACAAAAACTCATTTTGGGATCTGCCATTTTAACTTAGCTATGATGTAAAATGTCACAGTGGCTTACCCTAGAACATCTTATTTCTCCTTCTTTTTAATTTTTACCTGGATTGCTTCAGTGTTGAAGAACAGAAGAGGCAGTTAGCCACATCACTACAGTTTTGTGTGGGGAAATCTTGATGTATGAAAACACAGCATCAAAACCAAAATCCTATCCCAAATCTATCATATCTCTCCTATCCCAGTTAATGAGCAACTATAAATCTTCACGTTTGAAAATGAAAATATTTTCAAATATCTAATAAGCTGTGTATCTCATTGGCACAAAAACCAAAAGCAGTTGCACCTGGATACAAACAAACAAGCTGACTGGACATCTGGACAAGCAGATGTAGAAGAAACATGCCTTGAGAATTACAGGAAGCATTTTATAAAAATAACAGATTATTACAGCAGAATCATCATATGTACTTAGAGGACAGTGCGTGGACTGTGTGTATAGTAAGAAATGCTACTTTTAAGCCAAAGAAAACATGTTTTAGATTTCTAAATAAAAAAATTGAATGCAATTATTGCATTCTCCAATTTCCTTATGCAGGCCTGCTGCAGCTGACATTGTCTAGCCTTCTCTTTAGACCTCTAAGTTGCTTCAGAATGCTACATGATAGCCTACGTCACCATAAACCTCTTTCTGTTCGTTGTCCACTTCCAAAGCCAGATGGCAAAATGAAAGACTTAGAATGACTTAATTCCCTAACCCAACAATAAAAGCACAACTTAAATCTCTTCTGGCTAAGACTGAAGACGTTAGAAGGAAAAACTTTCAGTATGTTAATTGCAAAAGACAATGTATTTTTAATTGGCATCCCTAGAAGGTGCTGGTTTGAGATCTGCAACACTGGACTGACATCTTTTATTTATCTCCTCAATCTTCCGCTCTTATTAACTTATTAGACGTAATGGCCCTAACAATCATAAAAGCAGAAACCAAACACTGAAAATATATACCTTCTTATTATTCTCTAGAGTCATCTTAACACACAGTTACGCCTAGTTAGCTCTCCATATGGTCAAAGATGCACCTGATGGAAATACTGACAATCTTATAATATAAAGAAGAAAACTTACATTTACATTTCGACCCAACAACTGTACGTTACTTCTTGACATCATGTATCGACGGTGGTTTTGATAGAAGTTTTGCAGGCCATAGTACATAAAAACATCCCCCTAGAATTGAAGGATAAATCCAAGCAATAAAGTGAGTTAATGTACACAAAGAAAAACCTTGTTATGTGCTGAAGAAGAGGGGAACAGAGTATGCAATTCTTATTTAAGTGCTGGTAACTACACTCAATTGCTCAACGACATAATTACTTCAGCTACAATACTGGCTAGAATCTAGATTTTACCCCAACTGAAAGTTTTAGTGCTTTGGTACAAAAATAAACTTACTTCAAATTACCAGTCGAAACCTAAAATAAAAATGCCTGATTATGATTTTACTCAAGATGGCATAGGTGGCCATGAACTTGCAACAAATGAATAATTTTGTGGAGACAGACACTCCTTTTCCATAAAGAAGGTGCACAAAACACTTCAAAAAGCACCCCATTTGCTTTTCATTCCTTCAGATTTTTTTAAAAATAAGACTAGCTCTCATAAATTATTTGGACCCTTTCGAAAGTTCAGTCCTGTAACTAAAAGGAGAATGCCAGTCAAGCAAAAACAAGCAAGAAAGAAGATTATTAAACTATAAAACCCCCATTATTCAGTAAAAGAGACCTCTAATCTCAAACATCACTGTAATCCAAAAAATCAGAATATTTTAACAGCATCTTCAACACTGAAAAACCCATAAGTGTCTTTATAATTCAAATTGCACTGCAATTTTAAGGGATCATTTATGCAGTATTAAGCAACAGATTTCTTTGGCAGAACACGAAGCATTTTAACAGACTCAGTGATGTGACCCAGTAGTTTAGGACAGGAAATGAAGGATCCTTTTCCCAAATCAAACTGCAGAATCACGTTGCTAGACATGAATTACTTCAAGGACCTTGGGGATTAACAGCATAACCCTTGTAAAAAAGACTACAGGGGTTTACTTATGACAAATAGTCAGAGCTTCGGATTCCATCACATTTGACAGTTTAGAAGTGCAGTAACAGCAAACCCCAGGCCAAGAGGCAAGAGGCTTCCTGCTGTCTCAAAGCAGGAAATAGTCAGAGCTTGGATTCCATCACATTTGACAGTTTAGCAGTGCAGTAACAGCAAACCCCAGGCCAAGAGGCAAGCGCCTTGCTGCTGACTCAAAGCAGGAAATACAGAGAAAGTTATCTCCATAATCAAACATAATTTCCTCCATCCCTATCTTCTCTTTGGACATCTCCCAACCAAGGACAGAGGTGGTCTGATCTTAACTATTTTTAGTATGTACCAAAATTAATAGCAAAGGTAAAACTTTGAGTATTTCTAATTTTTAAAAAGTAAATGGAACATTTAATCAGGAGCTCTACAGAGCAGAATTACTGTATCTTATCATCCAAGGATATAAATAACAGGAGGAATGAAGCAACTTGAGTTTATTTCTTGCATCCACTTACCAATATATCTTCCTTCAGGGTGAAATTAACAGAACAGTGGCATTCCTTATTCCAATTAGAGGTATTTTCACGGAGTTTTGAACAATCTGAGCATTTATCTGAATAATCAATCTTGCAGAGAAGTGAACATGCAGAGATATTGTAATAATGGACACGCACACAGAAAAAGGTTAGTGTTTCAGCTTCAAGACTTCTCAGAACAGTTCCCTCCTAAGTCACTCTGGACTGCCAAAAACATTGTTAAGACTCAACAGGGACAGCGAATCAGGACTTGGCCTCAGTGAACGTTCACAAATTTTATCCCTAGTTTAAAGCTGTTTTAGAGCCTTTTGATGACTGTTGCAGAACCTCCACATCTGCTTCTCAGCAAAGGAGTGCTGAGTGAAGAACACTTCTGCAGCTTGGTCTGGCAGACCAAGTAATGCTTGACAAATCCCCACATGCACTACGGCCCACCCCTCTTGAACAGCCTGGATGCACTGCTAAGTATTGGCTCCCACCAGGAATCTATTAACACCACCACAGGTCTAAACAATCTTGCCTCCAGGAGGCATTTGAACATCATGGCTCCCTTAATTTTAAGATTTTCCCCCCTACACTAATATGTATGTTCTTCTAGTACCAAATATTATCAAAGGAATTAATTTATTTCCCTTCAAAAATCCAGGAAATAATTACCAGTACCAGTAATTACCACCCATATTTTAGCTGTTAGCACCCATTGCTCCATTTTTATGGGTAACCAACTATCTCTGAGGATGTAAGAGGAACACTGGCTGCTGGACATATGTCCAAGGCACGAAGCCATTGCTATTATCTTTATCCAGAAGTAAAAATTCAAAACCTGTTTGTTTTTTTTTTTCCAAACATAGCCCAGTTTCTTCTTCATACAATATCTAAGAACACCACCCCAAAACAAACCTGTATTTCTTGGACACTGTTTGCAGACAGTATGAGGCAGACTCCCACCGAAAGGCAGAATGCGCCCGTGAGGAAGAAGGTGGAGAGCACAGTCACAATGGTAAGCTGGGGCTTCCAAGCTGGTAGCTTCTGTTGTTTGAAGGCACTGTTATCCGGACACCTGGAAGGACGTGCTTCTCCTTCTTGGGGGATAAAGCTTGTCTTGTTTTCCATTTTCTTCTTGGTGAGAGGAAGGAATAATATACTTGTGCTGGAGAGTGTTTAAGCTGAGATACTGTCCTTACTGTTGGGAGACCTCATTGTTTGTTCAAACCTACACTATGACCAGGAATTACTTATTAACTAGACCTCGCACTTCCTCATTTTCTACGCTTGTGCCTGGATCCCCATGATCAGCTTGTACTAATCAAATGATTGTTACTTTGGCCAGGGTGTCCAGCTCATGCCTCCTGGAAAAGCTTAAATATATGCTTTTTCCTTCCCCACAATTCCGTAGGATTGTTATGTCTTAGTCATTTTCAGGGATACTGCCAGCTATACCGGAATGTCTGTGTAATCTCAGCTGAATTATTTCTTCTCCCCTCACTTCTATAGCTGCTCAACTAACAGGCATGACATACAATGAAAGTGGCACTGGATGCCACTGGGGAGGACTGCACATGCAGAAAACATTGCTTTGGAAGATCAAATCCATTTTCCTAACCTACTACATTCATTGCTATTGATTTAGACACAACTGAAAGTTGTAAAAAAGTTATGTGTTCTTAATCACAAAAGTGCAACTCATTCTCAAAACATCCGATTCGGACCAATGGCTTTCCAAGATGCTGATGATTTGCGTGCCTCTATTCCACCTTGCCACCATCCATTCCCACTATCCACAATGACAGAAGAATCACCCAGAAATCATTGCCTTTTAATTTAAATGGACAAACAGAGGAATATTTTTTGCACACTTCAACAGTCTGACTAAAATAAGTAAAAATACAGATAATTTTTCATGTAATAGCAAAAATGCAGCATTTGGCCAGCTCTAGAACAGAAAAAAAGATACTGCTTTGACAAATTAGTGATATTCATGCAACATTTTCAAAGATCCTCTAAGGCAAAAACTAGATTGTAAGTCTCATGAGAGAAGTAAAGACACAGCAGTGAATCCAGCAGCTGAATGCTAGGTATCTCTAATTTCAGTATCACATTGCTCGTGCAATAAAAAGCATAACAAAAGTACAAACAAAATGTCTGTTTTATTATTAAAAGAGAACACCAAAAAAGTTGCAATGTGCATTCTTTCTGTACCGAGAGACCTCTGAGAAGTAAAAATTCTTAATTCCATCACTCGTTCACTGCTTGCCAACTGCAGACAGGGTAACAGTAAAACACAGCTGCAAACGACTTCCTTGTTGGTAAGACTATTAAAAGAGTCCCAGCTTCACAGAACCCTCTCTGCACAGCTTTATAATGCACATCTCCAGAAGGTCAATTGTTTCTTTCTTTATCTGAAGAAAACAAAAATCAAAGAAAGCATCAAAAGTTACTGAGAATGCTTCAGCTGAATGCCATCATTTATTTACCAGGCACCACCTCACCATAGGACTAGAAATTAAGTAAGACGCTCCCAAACAAGATCCCGAACTCTGCAATGTTTCCACTTTATAAAATATCTAACATTTGTTCTATAATCCTACAGTACAACTACTGCTCATGCAGTCCCATCTAATAGGGCTAGAGCTAAGGTGTCATCAGTATGGAACTGATCAAGGGTGCCACAGCAAGAGATCCACCCTGGGCTGCAAAATCCCTGTGGGACTTCCCAGGGCATCAAGCAGTCCAAGGGCAATACAGCACTGCAACAGCCACAATATGTTCTGTGTCTGAGACACCTGAATGAAAGCGAGCAGAAAGGTCAAGCCTACATGTGCAGCATGCAAAGTACTTTGGTTTATAACACGGATATGGCTGCAGCTTATTGCTTAAGTAAATATTGACTACATACTTCAGCAAGAACACAAGATTCTCTATCACCATGGTTAGTCCAGAGCCTCTGTATAGCTTCTTCTTTCCACTTACAAGTAAGTTTTTTGTGAGTTTTCTCTCAGGATGATATCCTTTTGTGCCTCCACTTCACACAGAAATATATTGTGTGAGAAAGTCTGACACTGGATGTGTTGCAGGAGGGTGAAAACCTCCTTTCTATCTCATGTCCACTTCTTACAAACCTTTCTATGATAATGAAATCTGAAACTTAGGTTACTGTATTTTCAAACCTACTCAAGGCTGTTGTATTCTTTGTGTATTCAAGGTGTTTGTATTCTTTGCAGAAAACACAAGTAATTTGAGGAGCTGAGACAGATCAGATCTATATTGTCATCAACCTCTATACACAAAGATTTCAAAGCAGGAAGCTTGTCCTTCGGTGAGATCAGAAAGTATACAGTCAATGCTTCAGTATAAAGAATGCATGACACTGTCTGAGAAACTAATTTACCCTGCCGATGGTTTCTTTGTGAGTGTTCTTTTTATTTCCTTCTCTCCACTGTTTGGGATGAATGGAGTGAGACAGATAAAAAAAATCAACAGCATTAACTAGTGAGATGTTGAGGAATCTGAAAGAGCAGTGGATCAGGGCACCATTCATTATGTGAATGTGATGGGATACAGACCTGTCATATGGATGGATTGATGTGCTTTTAAATTAATTTATTTATCCAAATATACCACTGTGTATATTATTCTCCAATGAATGAGGTGAGTGCAAAATAATCAAGTTGTTTGCACCTTTACAATGAAGCTACAATTTTCCACAAATAGACAATAAGTAGATGGGCTTCCAACTGTTCTTGCTTTCTAGTGTAATTACAATGAAATGTAGCTAAGGAGCACCTTAAATGTGCAAAGACATTATTGACTAAGTGAGGTTTGTATGAGGGCTAGTATGCCTCATTTCCAAATTTTAAGGACACAATTCTGCCTCCACAACTAAAAGGGGATAACAAAAATTAGTACATTTAACTGCCACTTCTCGATATTGTGTTGTTCATACTATAATTCCTCTTTCTTGATCAAACTTATTACTAATCTTGGCATATACTTGACAATTTTTATACAAGCAGGGGAGTAAGATCCTATTGATTTCTACTCTGTTAAGATGCCTTAAGCCAAAAAAATTACTTGACTATCTTTCATTGCTGACATAATGTTCAGGAACCTGCCTGATGTCTGCAGCAGAACAAATAGCTGCAAGATAATCACTTACATAGCTCAATATATCACAAAACCTTCTGTATCTTGTGTCAAATACACATTTGAAGACTGTTCTGCAAATTCATTACAAATATATATCAATTCCTTATGCTAACACTATAGATGAAAATGTAATATACTTGATTTTAACTTCATAGACTTATAGATCACAGAAAGATTTGGGTTGGAAGGGACCTTAAAGACCATCTAGTTTCAGTCCCCCTCCTAGTTCCCACCTCCCACATCAGGTTGCTCAGAGCCCCATCCAACCTGGCCTTCAACACTTCCAGGGATGGGGCAGCCACAGCTTCTCTAGGCAACCTGTTCCAGAGTCTCCCCACCCTCAGAGTGAAGAATTTCTTCCTAATGCCTAACCTACATCTACCCTCTTCCAGTTTAAAACCCCTCATCCTATTTCTACGTGGTCATATAAAAAAACACAAACATGTAGCAATTTATCAAGTCTTAACATTTTGTTAAGATAGCCTTAAGATTTTCCCTCAATAAGATACAGCTGGAGTCACAACCTTTGGCCTATATTCCTAGACAGACATCCAAAAATGGTGTGATGCTACCTACAGTGAGCTGAAAGGGGTAGTTCAGGTTTGCAATAGCCCAAAATAAAATATTAACAACATAATTTTTAATATTTTTTTGCAGTGGATCAACTGTAGTCTACTGTATGTACACTTACTTCAGCTGACTTAAAAAATCCATCCCACTGCAACCAGGACCTTTTCTACTACCATCTTGTACTATATATAGCTCTGAATTCATGTTGTCTTTTCTTTAAAAAACTCACAGGTAAGTGCAAGCACCATGCAAAAAAAAAGCCTTATGTATTTACCACAAGAGGGAGCCTCCTTGCCTCAAAAAGCAAAGCTGGTTTCTTAGTTACTTCTTTTCTGCAGTGTATTTTTTTTGCGGGGTGCTTTATCAAAGATTATTAGGACCTTATCTTTGTGTCTGTAGAACTGCACATTCAAATGCACAGACAAGTGCAGAGAAGGACTAATGAATGATAATTCGTTTCACTTGGGAAACAGCTTAATTATATTAAAATATATTAAAATATATATTATAATATATAAAATATAAAATGTAAAACATAAAAAAAATTAAAATATTAAAAAAATTTAAAAAGTAATTTTTCCCTGGACATTTTGCATATAGACCTGCTCTGAATGTGCAAAAAAATTGAAACACTGCACAAGAAATTGGGAGCTTTCTAACAACTACTAGTGGAGGAAACTGCCTCTTTCACTCTGCTGGCTAAATACCAGCTGATGCCCCACAGCCCATGGTAAATATGCCTGGCCACAGCTATACATGTGAAAGCTGCATTACAGAATCAAAAATAATAGTGAACAATCGTAAAAGGAGTCTGCAAATGATGGATGGATCGATACAGTTTGCATCCTACCTCAAAAAAAAAAAAAAAAAAAAGAAAAAACTGTAGAAGTCCTCACAGAAGTTACCTTATTCTGAGATGGAGACAAATAAATCACAGAATCACAGAATGTTAGGGGTTGAAAGGGACCTCTGAAGATCATGGAGTCCAACCCCCTTGTCAGAGCAGGACTACCTAGGAACACCTAGGACAGACCACTCAGAAATGCATCCAGACAGGTCTTGAAAGTCTCCAGAGAAGGAGATTCCACAGCTCCATAACCGTCACAGTAAAGAATTTCTTCCCTATGTTGAGGTGGAACTTCCTGTGTTCTAGTTTGCATCCATTGCTCCTTGTCCTATCACAGGGAACAACTGAAACCAGAGAGGCCCATCCTTCTTGACACTCACCCTTCAGATATTTGTATACTTTAATAAGATCCCCCCTCAGTCTTCTCCTCTCTAGACTAAACAGCCCCATGTCTCTCAGCCTGTCCTCATAAGGCAGGTGTTCTAGTCCCTTAATCATCCTTGTAGCCTCTGTTGGACTCTCTCCAGTCAATCCTTGTCCCTCTTGAACTGGGGAGCCCAGAACTGGACACAATACTCCAGATATGGCCTCCCTAAGGCAGAGCAGAGGGCGAGAAGAACCTCCCTTGGCCTGCTGGACACACTCTTCTTAATGCACCCCAGGACAACATTGGCCTTCTTGGCCACAAGGGCACATTGCTGCCCCATAGACAACTCGTTGACCACCAGGACTCCAAGGTTGTTCTCCATGGAGCTGCCTTCTAGCAGTTCAGCTCATAACCTGCACTGGTGCATTGTTATCCCTCCCCAGGTGCAGGACTCTACACTTATTCTTGTTGAACCTCATTAGGTTCCTCTTTGCCCAGCTTTCCAGTCTGTCCAAATCTTGCTGAATGGCTGCACAGCCTCCCGGTGAACCAGCGAATCCTCCCAGCTTTGTGTCATCAGCAAACTTGCTGAGAAGACACTCTGTCCCGTCATCCAGGTCCTTGATGAAGATGTTGAACAGGACTGGACTCAGCATTGATCTCTGGAGAACGCCACTAGTTAGAGGTCTCCAAGCTGGACTCTGCACCATCACCCTCTGGGCTCTATTGTTTAGCCAGTTCTTAATCCATCTCACTGTCCATTCTTCCCACACTTCCTGAGCTTGCTCATGAGGATGTTATGGGAGACAGTATCAAAAGCCTTGCTAAGGTCATGGCAGACTACATGCTTCTCCAAAGTTTAATTTAGTTTTGCAAAAAGTCCTCTTACTTAGAGAATTTCCAGGAACAGGTAGAGCAACACACTAGAATGAACAGGAGAAATTCACAGCAGAGCTATAGAAGTCACAGCTGTGACTTGCAATAGGAAAAAAATCTTCCTCAGGATATGATTTTTGAGACCTAGAGTACAGATTTAGCAGTCAAAGGTTGACTTCTTTGTGTTTCTAGACCACTGAATTCAGCTTTACAGAAAAAATACCTTACTGACCAAGAACTGGGCACTAGAAGCAAAGGCAATGAATACACAGAATATATATACAGGTGCTTATACAATACCTCAGGGATATCCATCATTCTCCTTAGTTTCTGATCTCTCCAGTTCCAATCCAGAATCATGTATTTTGTGGAGTTCAAGCACAAGCCATCTAAAAAGGTAACATAAATTTTACTACCAAGATAATATGACATGTGCTTATCAAAATGATTTTGGGCTTTTTCATCTTTTGCTGTCTGTTTCCAAGGAACCTGATCGCTGAATACTTAAGTACTGCATTTGCTGGTTGGAAAACTAATGCACTGACACTGCAAACTCCCTTAACCACATAATCCCATGCCTTTTTGGAAGATAAACACAAAAGCAGAACAACTACTGTTGCCAGGCTTGTCAAGAGCTCACATCCTGCCAGAAAATAATTCCTCAAGCTTCCTCTTGATGAAACCGCAGGAGTTGAATTTCCACAGCTGATGAGGAGCTGGTAAGTTGCAAGGACCATTGCCTGAACACTCCTGTTAATGGGAACTGACAGTGTTAAGCAATTTACAGGACTGGGTGCTATGTGAATATGAGTCAGGTCAGTGGTGTTGCTGAAGAATTCCTTTATTCTTCAAATAAATGGTGGTGAAAGAAGAAAAAGTTCTGGTCCTCCAGCTGTTCCCTTCTTTTTCCCTGGTTTTCTACAGGATGCCCATAAGTTTCTGTATCCATTTTGACTCTTCTCCATTCTCCAATGACCTGGCACTGCACTACTAAGTTGTCAAAAAAGGACTAGACCTTTGCATAAGATGATACATCTTGTGTCTCTGCCATAAGCTTCCTCCACCTAACATGGCAATGCTGAGCAGTAACTATCTGATGTTGGTGGAGGGCACAGGAAGCAATAGAATTAGGCTACTCCTGTACCCTCTTGGAAGGAGTGGTAGAGACCCAATCCACAGCCAGTCCCTGACCAAGAAACCACAGTCAGAGCAAGGCAGTGTTTAGAAAGAGGAACGGAAAGAATCACCTTATCATCCTGGCATTCTGTTGTTTGTTTTTCTTTGTGTGCATAATGTCTATTGAGTAAGTAAAACCACTCAGAATTTGGAAAAAGACACTTATATAGAATGATTAATTACACTACAGGCAAATCAGAAATAAAATCAAATCAGCAAGCAGATCTTTCGTCCACCCCTCATAAAAGTTTACACTGAGCTCACAGTGACATTTGATACGATGACTTCTGCCATTATTTTCTTTTGATTTACTTGCAGTGTTTAGTTTCCTGGAGTTTTAAATCTTACACCATGGTTTTGCAAACACTTTCAAGTCAGCATAAATCAGTATTCCTGCCAAAAGAGGAAGTCCCCCATCTCTGCCTGCTCATTACCTGATTTTATGTGCACATTAGTTTTGTTTTAATTGGGATCAGTTCTAATTGGGATCAGTTCACTAAGCTGCCAAACAGACTCTTGGGCTAGCACAAGAAGCAGGAAGGGGGACTAAGTGGGCACTGACTGGGAGGGGGAAGTATTACTATGCCTTTTTCTGGTAATACTGATTTATGCTAGCTTTAAGTGATCATAAAATCAACTACTAGAACCGTGACCTCATTTTGACTTGACATAGTAGAAGGGGAGAACAGAACTGTACAGTTTAGTACCCAAATCCACAGATTCATTTCAACCTAAGCAGTTCAAAAACAGCTAAATCTTGCTTTTCATCATACCAATTGCAAGATACCTTTGGAGAAAAACCTCCCTGTTATATTACCTTGCTCCACTAGTGCTTTTACTCTCCCAGGAGTTCCAACCCCAATGTGGAACACACCTTTCTCCAACATACTCATCTGTTCTTTTATCTAATTTGAAGAAAGAGAGAAAGACAAACCGTAGTTACTGATTTCAAATTTCTTCTCAGAGAGCCTGGAAATAAATTCAAGATCTCATAGTATCTCCTTCTAGAACACCATCAACTATACAATGCTATTAATCTTTCAAACTGTCAAACTGGTGTGTCTGGGAGAAAGTTTAAGAAATAGAACAGCCATCTGGGCAACACACTTCTCTAGAAATTCAGTCATTTTCAACTTTGAAAATCTGCTGCAGCACCAACTATTTTTGGAGGTGAGAACCACATGCTTCCTTCAGCATTTAAACAAATTCTCTGCAAATATCTGGAAAACTGACAAGTTGAACTAGCTCTAAACTCCTTCATGATGAAGATACTGGAAAAGGGTGCAATAAAGCAAGGGATATTTGTGTGTTTGACAGTATTTAGATCAAAGCCCCAATGGCCCCATACTACCACAAACAACCCCATAATTTGTGCTCTGCAACAGGTATGGATTTGGGCATGCAGGCATCCAACTGGCAGAATGCAAAAGTGGGTGCTGGTACACTTTGTTCTACAAACTTCTGTGTGTGAGACTTCTATTTGAACAGGGAAAAGCCATTTGAATTAGCACCTCGTGGGAATGTGGAATAGCTTTAAAATGTAGCACACGCATAACCATCTACATTCTGCATAGGATTGCACCAGAGCTCGTGGAGATGGTGTTTGGCTAGATTCCCCAAACTGCAACCATGGGTTACCAAAGGAAGCATTACCTACAGAAAGGAACATTATATGAACATTGTATGAAAGGCACTACTGCTAAGCGCATTAAAAAGAAAATGGTGCAACACTAGTTAGCTGTTGAGTTGTTCTATCAAAGTTCCCTTGCAGCCCTCTTACCTTTATGTGCTTTGCAAACAGCTTGAGAACTCTGCAGTCTCCTTTAAATGCTGTCATTGACCTAGCAATAAAAAAAATAAATAGAAAAAGGAAAGCATCAGGGCTGGGATTAAGACCACACAGCAAGAAAACAAAACTAACTGGCATTTCTCAATAAGCTTGAGACATACAGTTCCCCAGTGACTCCTGCTTGTACTTTGAACACCATGTACATTCTTGCTTGCTACTTGATCAACAACTGGACAAACACAATAGCAGATATCAGTAGGGGGCAATATTGTTTAGATAAGCTTTTCAGATAATATTTAATAATCATGGCCTGTGCTTTCACAGCTAAATTAGTTCAAAACTGACTAATCACTGAATTCTAATTAAAAAGTATCTCAGTTACTGAGATGCAGGCATGAATTAACATGAATGTGCATGCATAAAAGGAAAAGATCTGTGCATGGACCAACCCACTTTTTACAGAGTTTTCCTGCAGCGTGGCTGCTGGGAAAACCTAGGCTGCCACAGTCTTTACTGCAAAGATTGCCCAAATTGCAATTAACCAAAACTCATTAGTTGAAAAACCTGACTTGTTTTTCTAACACTCCATTTTGTCTCACAGCAATAACAATGTTCTGTATTAATCAAGCAGCAGGCAACATACTCAGTTATTTTCTGAATGTCATTTAAGACAGCTTTCTCTGCATGTTTTTTACAGTGTGCCAAATTTTTACTTTTGCCTTGTGCAAAGCTAAAGGTTTATATACAAGTGTACATATAAACCACCTAAATCTCACATGGTTATATCTGCATTCAGGGGCTAAGCACTACAGGCACATCTGCCATATCTGTGCTTCTATCTGTGGCATGGAGTCAAACTTCCCAACTCTCCACCTCATGCTGTACTGGCAGATAATCACAGGATATGGGGTCAAGACTCAAAAGGCAAACACGAAATTTTTGATGTACACATTAATTCATCAAGGTCATCAGCACTTCAGGAATGAAAAGGGGGAGGACAGAGAAGTAAAAAAAGAGAACAGGGAACACTGAAAATCATCACCTTTGCAAAGCAGTTTTGCCAGCCTAAGCCAGGTGAGAATATGGAGACAGACTTTGAGGCACTCAGGCCAGATGCATGTGTTGGCACTTGAGGCTCTGGAATTGCCTTTGGTGCAAAGTCATGATTTTTAGTGGTGGATCACGACGCTCTATGGGTTTACTCCGTTCCCAAGCGTAACATGTTGTATGCATCCCCAAAATTGGTTTTACACTTTATTTTTGGCTTTTAACAAAAACAGTACTTCAATGCAACTGAACTACTAAGTGTTATTTGAGTCTAAAACCAAACACCAGACTCCCACAGTCTAAAGAAACAAGGTATGTTGCATCAGTTTGGGTCAGTGAATTTGCTGGCTAGCAGAGAACAGTGTCCCAGTTTTGCCTTTATGCCTGTGGTTCCAAGACAAAACCTCTGACTGACTGCCAACCCCAACATAACATTTGCTATCGACATACTTGATGAGTTCCAAGGAACGAAGGGCAGAACTGCAGATAACAAGCATCACCACCGACTTCTTCTCCTTATGGTTTTTACGGAGTTTTGCCCACTTAGGACAGACTGCAATGAAAAAGCCCGTGTCCACACACAAAGTACTACATGCCACAATTGTAAATTATAAAAATACAGAATGAATGGGAGCCAACAACAAGAACACGCATGCTGACTCTTACGAGGTCTGGATTTCTGGCAACACTTTTACATTTACTCATGGCTGAGAAACTGGAAAATAAACCACCCAAAATAATGAAAATACATAAGTATCACATAACTGAACAAATCAGATAAGCATTAAAAATCACGAGTATGTAAGGTGACAAGCCCATTGATGTCATCTGCCACAAACAGTAATTTGTATCAGAGGAAATCTATTGAAAAGATACATTTACTAGACCAGAAATTCTATATAAACATCTAGAAGAGAATAAAAATTCTCTGGGTTTATGTCAGCAAGCAGCTGCAGGATTTTTACGGTGAGATAATACATACACCTACTTATGAAGCCACAATAAACTAATGACAAATAATTGCTAGCAATTACAAGAAACCTTAAAATATTCTGATACAAAAAAAAGAGTAAAAAAGAGTCAGAAAAACAAGACCTGTCATGAAAAAAAAAAATAAATAAACCCCCTTAAAATTATTATTATTATTTTATAATTAAAAATACTTGGACATGCAGATATAAGTGCAATAACATTGCATTAACAAGGTTTTTCATACAACTTTAATCTCATCCAACATTTTAACTCACTTTCCTTCAGGTATGAAGAAAAACTGTGGGTGAGATCATTGGCTGGCAAAAAACAGGAATCTGAAAACATAAAAGGAAAAAATATTTTTGTTGATGTATTTTTAACAGAAAAAGGAGCATATACTTTGCAGCATAATCATTAGTTATATTGATGAAATCACAACTGATTTTTAAATCCTTCATCCATTAATTACCATTTCTGGAACAAAGACTAATGTACACCTGAAGTAAAGAAGCTTTATATTGGATAAATCAATGAACAGCTTTCAACTCAACTGCAATTCCTTTCTTTCCCTCCACCATGAAAAACTCTGAATACAGGGCTGCACATGTGTGATCACATACTTAAAAAAAAAATTTCATACATCTTTGCCACAATCAATCAATTAAAGGTCTTAACCAAAAAACTTACAGTGAACCTGCTACACTGTTCCTCCAATCTACCTATGATGGAAGACATTTGTAGAGCACCAAAACAATACTGTGTAAATGGAAGAACTTACTCATAATCTACCTGTCAGTAAGTTTGTTTCTCTTTCTGACCTTTTGTATTATCCTAATCTACCCAACGACATAAATCCAAAGGGTAACACCTACACCATATTTCAATGTGTTCCTCTTTCTTCATTTCCCATTGACTGCTGATCTTTTTACCTGGTCACTACGTTAACTAGTACATCTTAAAAGTATTCTGTGGCAGACATGCCATTTAACTTCAATCTTCCTATAGAGGCAGTGAAGAAAGACAAGGTCCTAACAAGTTCTTTGGAAGGCCTTTCCTTTTTCCAGTGCCTATACAGAAAGTCTAAGTTCTTAAAATGGTGATGAAAATTACATGGTCTGTAAACTCGCCATCGTTGTTAAGGGTCCTTTGCCTGATGGAACAATATGCTCCTGCAAAGCATCAACAACTCTGTCTTCAGGGACTCACATGTTTGTTGTCATTGAACATGAAGCATAGCACCTCAAGGTACCTCTGCAGAACAAAGTATTTGCTGATATACTTTAGCTAAATTAAGGAGGTTTCCTCACAGATGTTATTCATGTTCACGTGGGTGGCGCACTGGGCTGATGCTGGCAGCATCAATCCATTATTTCCATTAAAAAAGTGTGAGAAAGTTGGTTTGTAGCTGATGCCTGCCTAATAGTCCTGCCTGTCTAGCTTCTTGAGCATAACCACTCCCCATCACTGTAACTTCCATTTAATGGGTGTTTTCTTGCTAAAAACTTTTATTTTGCACTGACCCCTTTTACTAAATCCAGAGATTGACATTTGTTTGGTCCTGAGCCTAAAAGGGAGGGAATGTGTACAACTGAAGGACCAGCAGCTGACTTACTTTCAAGATCATGTTTAGAAGATACACTTGATGCTAGAGGGGAAGGACAGGGGCTGTTCATCCATAAGCATTTGGTGGTGATAGGAGAGCTCATTACACTCACCGTGGCCATTTCCTCCCAGTGACAAAATATCTTTGTTGCTTTGCTCTTCTGAATGTTTTGTCTCATTATTGACTGAAATATGGTTTCTAAGAGACATGAGCTTCAATTACTGACTTTCACCAACACTCCAGCAACACTGGAGTATTAACAATTTTAAATTAAAGTTTCAGGAAGGGGGGGAAAATGCATAGTTCCAAACTGCAGCAAAAGACGACGGTGACTACAGACCTGACCTTCTGCACCTTGTCAGTTAACAAGAACACATAACTCTAGAGTAGTTGCTTGTTATTTGCTCAGTGCTTGGATGTGAATTACCTGACAGCTGTAGAAGTTTGTAGACTCCTTGGCACTATTAAGCCTCCAACTCCCAGCACAAAAAGAAAGAAGAATATATCCCCATCCACCCCAAGAGGAAATACGTATGGAAATGGGTCACTTCACTAGCCCAAAGGTCTTTCTTAATAAGAAAGAAACCAATTATTATTTGCTAAAACGTCTAAAGGTCTAAAAATATTTAACGCAAGTTTTTCAAAGCAATCTCTATGGGACTTGGTTTTCTTGATGCAACAACCCTCCCCATAGAAATAAGTAAGGCTCAACCTACAATCATGGATATCATGGAGGAGCATATTAATCTAGAAAGACATGCTTAAACAATAAAAGAGAGAAACCACTTCTGGGCTAGAAGGTTCCTATACTGGGCACAGGTCACTAAGACTTCAAGAAGTAGCAAAGGTGTGTGCAGGTTAGTTACCAGGACGTTTGCACTTCATGAGCACTACCAACAAATAATGGACAGTGCCTATAAAATTGCTGAATGGTTTGGGTTGGAAGGGACCTCAGAGATCATCTAATTCCAACGCCCTATGCATGGGCAGGGACACCACCCACTAGAACACGTTGTTCAAAGCCCCATCCAACCTGCCCTTGAACACTTCCAGGGATGGGACATCTACAACTTCCCTGGGCAACCTACTTGTGTCTCACCACCCTCACAATATATGACAGTGCCCTTTCCTCTGAAGAGTCAGAAGCAGAGATGATCAATGTTGCCTTAATCTCAAATGCAACCTCCAATTTTCAGAAGCTAACTCTGCTCTGTCCTGCTTTGCCGTTTTTATCATTGGCTTTTCTGGAGATGGAATGTGGTAAACCAAGAGGGTCCTTGTGTTATAGTTAAAACTTGGTCACTTTACACTTGGACCAAAATTACCATCTCATTTCATGTCACTCACTGGGAAACCACTGTGATTGATATCTCAAAACTACGTAAGAATGGCATCTCATTATTTCTTTGTCTACTCCTGTCAGCCTTGCTATTATGCATCTGGACCAACTCAGGTAATCCCAGAACCAAATTACATTTTCACTTACTTGATCAGCCTATGGGAAACTATTATTAGGAGTAACATAATTTCTACCAGAAAAGTGAGCTCCTGAAATTAATACTTTACAAAAAAAGGACACATATAAACAAAGTTTCTTTTAATTTCCGTAACTCCAAGAAAACTTACATTTATTTGAAAGAAATTAACATTTCTACGTAGACAGCAAATTAATATGCAGTATAAGAAAATATTTCAATAAAAAAGTAGAACTCAAGACCTGTCCCAAAAATCCTTTCTTCTGCAGAAAAAGAATTCCATAATATAATGAAGAAACACGTTACTTATCTATCACATATAGGATAAGTTACCTGACAGCTTTAATTCCTCTATTTCAATCACTGAACGGTTTTCAGCAAAATATTGGCTAAGCAGATTTTGTAGATCTGCAGGGACACCAGGTTTTGGAGCAGATTTCTCCAGAATATCAGAAATTTTCTTCTAAAAAAAAGAAAAAGTAAAACAGGTAATTACAGCATTTCTATAATTTCTGCTTTTTGGTTAGCTAACAACACTCTAAAAAAAATGTTCCTCCATAACTTTATACAGTTATATTGGCTTCATTACAGTTTAAGTAGAAAAACATCTTATAATGAGACAGGATTTCCCACCACCTTTAGTAGGAATGCAGAGTTTAGATGCAAGTTCAGATACTTGGATGGGTTGTGGGCAGGAAGACAAAAAATCTTGTTTGCTCACCTGCAATGCTGCTGTAACAAAAACATAACTGAAACCTGATTTTGTGAGTTTTGCTGTTGTTACACTTAAGTATCAGCTTGCAAATTCAGGTTTTTTTTTCTATAATTTATTTTAATTCTTTATTCTTAAAGCATAACAATAGGAACCAAGTTATTATATAAGTCTGGGTTTTTATTAAAACAAGGTAACTACCTACTTTGGAAGGCAAGATCCCTAGCTATACTCACAGAATAGCACAGAAGTGTAAAGAACATGAGTTAAAAGCTCACAAAACCAGAAGTCACCAGAGAGAGTTTAGAAGCTACTTTGTTCTTCCAAAATGTATATTTTTTAAAACCAAACAAGTACTTTTTAGAGCCTGGACATGAGCTCATAATGACTGTGTTTTACACCTTAGGAATGTTAGCAAATAACAGGTCTGAATTTTCACTGAAGTGCTGCTCTATTTTTTCCCATAATTAAATGGATGATTGGGGTAGAATAGCCCAGGGTTCCTGTTATCTGAATGATCTGCCAGCATTTAAGAAAACAGCAGATTTTCAAGTAGAGAGGGAGCCTGGAGAGTACAGCAAGAATGTGAAGCCTCTCTTGCTCTCACTGAGAAGTGACTCATTTGTGAAAGGTCACCTCTAGGATTCTCAGCTGCATAAGCTAAACTGGACTTGCTGTCATGAGGACACATGGCAGCACAAGCCCAGAAGTGAAAAGGGGCATGGTTATGACAGAAACCCAGGGTATGTACCTGCAAGGCAAAGTGAGATTTCCTGGGCGTGGAAGCACTTTTAACAGCTCTGGGGGGATGGTGGGTACATTCAGTGCAAATTCAGCAGGCTAAGTAAGGTCTGAGGCAGCAAAGATCAATGGAAATTTTGAAGACAGCTACAGCAGGAACTTTAATGTAGGGGACAGATCTTTTTCCATCCCTGTTCCCCCCACTCCATCCCAGCACTCGCTCTCTCCTTGTCTTCCACTTCCCATCCCTCTGTCTCTCCCTCTTGCCTAGGACACCCCAAATACTCCCAGAATGGCAGCATTAGAGGCAGAATGCTGAACAGGGAAAAGCTAGTTGGGGGCTGCTGAAGCCCCAGTACCCTACAGCAAAGGCAAGGTAGGCAGCTGCCTCTCCCAGCCGCCTTCCACTTTGGTCACTGCCTGCTCTACCTCTGCTAAAAGCCACCTGTGTGTCTGTAAGACCCCAGCTGAATCTTTGACAGAGATTAAACCCTTACACCTACTTCTTGGTCCACCTTTGGCCCAGTCAAAGCTCTCCGCAGCCCCTGGAAGACTTCCCAGTGGACATCTGGTTGCTTGGCAGGTTTTTCCAGTAGCATTCCTTCCCAAGATTCACCTTCATTTGGCACCCTTATATTTTTCTACTACGTAACAACTGTCTACCCAAAGAATGACCAGAGGCCATCTGCAGCAGATACACCCTTTGCGTGAGGCTCACTAATGGACCTCTTTGTTATTGTTCCTACCAACTACAAATGCTCTTTTCCAGCAACCTGTCTCATAGATGACCCATGTTGGGGAACCTCTGATTTAGCAGACAACAAGACAGAAACACCAGGCTCATTTTACATGGTAACTCAGCATAAGGCTCTGTTCCACAGGACCATTACGTCATTCACTGGGCCACTTGGTTTCCCCAGGAAAATTATGGCCCTCTAGAGGGGAGAAGCCTGATCCTAATGAGAAATTCCTTAAGAGCAAGGACACCTGAGCAAACTCTCTTCCTTCAAGGAGAGCTGTGGGGAAATGTTCCTCATGCAGGAAGTTCTATTATTTTTCTTCCAATTCATTCCAGATGCTTAAAAAACAAAGGGCTTGTTTCCCCTTTTTCCTGAATTTTGGAGAGAGCACTTTGTTTGGAACCCATAGATCAACCTGATAAATATTTCCTGATGGAATTTTTGAAAGGCTGTGTATGTCAACTTGCTGGCCTAGCCCCACTGAAACCAAAGGTATAACTAAGCACCTATTGTTTCCCTGAGAATTGGGGTCATTTTGTTTGGTCTGGTTCACCAGTCTGTGTTGTGGGATGCTTTTGCTCTGGCAGCAGTGCAACAAGTACCTCGGTCACTTCTGCCAGAGCTGCATTTAAAGCTAAATCCCG